GTGTGTGTGTCATTCTAACTTCCTTGTTTAAGTGCAAGCTCCCTTAGTATCAATGGTACTCTTTGTTAGACATGGTCTAGAGGGGCGGGGTATAAATAAATAAATAAATAAATTGTTATCTCTGTTTCTACAAACTGGGAGGTTGAGCAGAACTCCTCCACTGGCATTCAACAAGATACTTTAAATCTCTGACCTATACTTCAATTTTTGTATAATGGTTAGAATAATTTCCTTTTGGGGCAGGTGCTATAGAGCCTTTATCCTTACCATAGCATATGGTTTGGGCATATCTATAAATTATTATACCAGAATACTTGTTTGAATTTCTGAAGGGATAATTTAGAATTGCTTTGTAGAACAGTCTTAATCCCATGATATTTTGCCACTGTCATGCCATGAGATCAATGGGACTCGAACAGTCCTACCTTTGTTACAAAGTAAGTTGTCTCCTCTTGAACTGCATTTTAATTTGCAGCTCATATGCTTAGTGGTGTGCAGCGCATCCGAAAGAGGTAAGTGTGGCAAAAACTAATGCTAAATCCTGAACTGACTTGTGATTAAAGTCTTGCTGATGTTACTATGTGTCAATATGAAAAAAATGCAGAAAAGTGATACTGTGTATTGCTTAATTGCAAATAGGCTAATTCCACACTGGAAAAATATTCTAAGTATCATTGTAGAAAGGTTACTGAAAATATATCCTCAGGATATTATCATCATTATCTTCATGTGCCATCAAGTCAATTCTGGGTCATGGTGACTCTTTTCAGGGTTTTCCAGGTAGGAAATACACAGAAGTGGTTTACCACTCCCTTCTTTTGGGGGCATCCTAGGACTATACAATACAGCTTGCCCAAGGCTGCACAGGCTGTCTGTACTCATAGGAGGCACAGTGGGGAATCAAACTCCCAGCTTCTGACTCTGTAGCCAGATACCTGAACCACTGAGGATTCCAGCCAACTATTGAGATTTTACAATATTACCAAAAGGGAAAAACAAAGATTGTTATAGCTCAATCCTCCACCTTCCATTGCAGGAAGGCATTTTGCCGGCACAAATTCCAGCAATACTTCCCTTATCTGTGTTATGTAGATTATTATTAATTTATCTATAACTTCAAAAAGGTTTCTAGGCCACTTTTCTACCAAACTAGAAAACAGTTTTCCCCAGAGGCCTTTTATGAGTGATTAATTATTGTGAGATGACAAGGCTTTTCATGTGTTTCCAGAATTATATGTATTTACATCATCAAGGTACCAATCTGACATCAGAGCAAATCTAAGTAGCAACAAATGTCCTTGAGTTGTCACAGGATTGTTCTTCTATTTACCCCAGATTGGATTTGATTTAAATCAAATAGATTTAAACCACTAGTCAGAAAGCATTTTATTTTTAAAAAATCTGATTTAAATTAAAAAAATTTTTAAAAAAGTTTTTATTTAAATCATTTTTTTTAATTTAAATTGGAATTTAAAAATTAAAATACTTACTGACTAGTGATTTAAATTGTGATTTAAAATCTATTTGATTTACTGTATTTTTCTGTTTATAAGATGCCCCACCTTTTCTAACCCCAAAATTAAGAAAACCTAGCTTTGGGTATTCAGCCTCTGAGCTCAGAACGCTCAGACATTACAAGCCCCTGTTGCATCTGAGCCTACAGGCTCCACCTGCAATGAGTTGTGTTCCAGTTGGTTTGTTCAGCATCAGCTGATGTCAGTTCGATAAGGGTCATGATTGGAGTTGACTGTTTTCTGACTGTAGGATGCTAAACCTTGTGATTGAAGGAAGCCTGTTTACAGAGACAAGGTACGGGCAGTTTTGTTCTCCCTGTGTTCTCAGCTTACTTCCATTTATAAGACGCCCCATAATTTTTAGTGTAATAATTTTAGGAAAAAGTAGCATCTTATACACACAAATACCGTAAGAAAAATCTACCCTGATTTACTCAATAATGCTATGAGGAGTGGGGGACTGAGCTGTCTAAGGTGAGCAATAGGATAGAATTTCCTGATTGGACTGCTGGTGATGCAATGGTATTCGTCACCACAACTGAAGTCGGAAGGCTAGTTTAAGTGTGACTTTCATCGATAACTTTTCTGTATGCATATAGTACTCACATACACTCATGTATATGTTGGTAATCCTTGAGGGTGCTGGGAAGGACTTCTTCATGCCAGCTGTCTAGGAGCTAACATGTTTTTCACCTTCTCTGTAGTAATTCCTGCAGTGCAATCTTGGTTGTTTGATGAGTTATTCTTATGCACTACATTCATTAGTTTTATTACTTAATGTTCTGTCTCTTCGTTTTGCTATTGAATTCTCTCACATTTGATTTGCTTTTGGTTGAAATTAGATTGGGGACACAAAATTAGATGTATAAGAGCAAGTCCGGACTGAAGTGACTGAACTAGGTCCCAAATTTAGGGCAAGTATCCATTTGGCTATATGAATTAAGTTTTAATATGGCAACAAGTAAGTATCTGACCTATTAAACAATAGAGATGTTAAGTGCCCTCCTTCTACTTGTCCCTTACTATTTTTTATTTATTTAAAATATTTTTACCCCACCTTTCTTCTTGAAAAGGACCCAAGTTGGATTACAAAAGTGAAAGACAATATTTAAAGATGGAAACAATGAGCAATGAGATTATTTGCTCTGAGAGATTTTGAGACTCACCGTGTAGTGGGATAATTCTGTCACATCTTTGTATCAAGCAAACATTCTTGTGGTGCTCATGATTTACTCTGTGCTCTTAAAAAATAGATTAATGGAAACCCTGTCATTGTAAGACATTTGTCCATGATTTGCATGGCAAATTATCTGGGTTTTTATGTTTTACATGCAGTATAAATCCCCTTAACATTTCCACCCTTCTCTTTAGTTGTTTACTTATCTATTGGTTTGGAGTTGATAAACACATGAGAGCTTGATAATTATTTTTGTTCCATGTGCCCTTAGGTGATAACTTTCTACACTCTTAGTTAAAAGGATAGGGAGGAAAGAGAGGAAAGAATTAACATACTGCTACTCACCCACCACTATTAAGACAGAAGGGCTAGGTCCAATAAATAGTAGCAACGATTGTGACGATGCAGTTTTAGTTCTCTTTATTTCAGTAGTACAGAAAAATATTCTCACTTTTAAATAAGTTGGGCTGAAAAGTGCCATAACTATGACTAGATTATTGATCCCTTTCACTCCTGCAAAATAGCCTATCACATTCAGCAGCATTTCCAAACCCTCTGTGCAGTATTTTCAGGGGGTGCACAGAAGTGAGACAGACTATTGCCAACCAACTTTCATGTGTCTAAATCTAGGTCCAACCTACAATGTATATCGATTGCAGGATATTATCTTCTTCAGGTGTATATTTTGGGGAGGAAAAATAATGAAAGATTTCCAGTCATCCTTTTTGAAATACCAAATAAGAATTTAATACCAGAAGCACAAGCTTCTTTTAATATATTTTGAGGCAATATCATAAGCAAGTCAAGTACATGTATTTGTTTGTTATAAAATCCTATATATTTACTTTGATAACCACCACTGATTCAGTGAGCTTTACTCCTAAGTAAATGTGCTTAAGACTACAGCCTAAACAATATTTAAATGAGTGGTTTCTTTCTACAAATCTTGAAATTCACCTGCTGAAAGTTATTATGATTTTTTTCCTCACTGCTGAGAAGAGTAAAACTGTCCATCCGTATGCTTGTCATTATACACACAAAGACTTCATGCCCTGAGTTCGTTTATTTTCTGTCACAAAGGTCTACTTCAAATGGATGATGGGGTAATTATTGCCCAAGATCCTAAAGTAATATGACTAGTCTGTCTTAAATATGTGATTGATAAGATAGATTTAGAGTTAATGATGTGGTGACAGCCAGAAACACATATAGTACATGACTGAAGAAAGGTAATGGCATTTTATATTTCAGAAAGGTTTGTTTGAATCAGAGCTGTTGCAAAAATGTGGGAAATTTGCCATTTCTCTCTTCCTGTTTCCATCTTCCCATCATATTCCATACTGTAATGGGGGTCCCGCAACCATCAGCAGCAGAGTTGTACCGTACAAGATGGAAGTGGAGGTGAGAAGATCCAATTCCATGAATGGAATTCTGCAGACGTTTAAGACCCATGACACAATTTGGTGTAATCTATTTGGTCATTGTGCCAAAATAGGAAAACCATTGATATTGGGGACCATATTATGGTTAATAAAATAGATTATATTAGGATCTTTGCAGCTACTCAAAATTTCTCAAGAAAGAGAGAAAATTGGTGGTGTGGCAAAATTCAGTCTTATGGTAGAAAATAGTGTGAGATGTTCTACACATAGTGTGTTAGTCATTCTGCATGTGACCACTAGTCTAGTTAGACAAGTATTAGTGCCTCACTACCATAGGCAATTATCTTTCTCAATTTTGCTTCCTTTAACCAGGCATTAGATCTTAAACATGCAAAGCTGTAGCTCCTTCCAGATACAGTATATGGCTCATGATCTAAAGAATTGTGCATGGGCTTGAGAAAATGGAGAAGAAAAGAGCTGACTTGTCAGAAGCAAAACCTATGGAGGACTACGGAGGATATTGCTATAATGATGGTTCACCTGCTTTTGTGTGTCATTATGGTGTTACCCTGTGGCACTTTCCAGAAATTTTACACTATAACCACTACAATCTCTTCCCATGCTGGCTGGATTTCTGGAAACTATTCCTGGAAGGCCAAAAGTCCCCGACACTGCTGTCCAGCATGTGAAATCTCATGCTGGATACATCCCTCCATAATTAAGGAACCTCCATATGATAAGATTTCAGATTAGTAACAGTTATATATGGCACAGTAGATGCTTTGAACTATTTCACCATTGGGTGTGCTGAGAGGTCAGACAACCAAAACCTCTGATGGATTACAGTGAGCCATCCCCAGCAGACATGCTTGAGCTAAGGAAATTATTTCTTTAAAATGCCCTAGAATGTTTGTTTCTGTTCCTCAGGTCCATTGATGGAAGCCCTTCTTTGAGACGTATGACTGTGATGAGGGAAAAGGGAAGGAGGCAAGCAATCAGAGGTCCAGCCTTTATGTTCAATGACAGGGGCACAAGCCTCACAGCAGAAGAAGAGCGTTTTCTGGATGCAGCAGAGTATGGGAACATCCCCGTGGTACGCAAAATGCTGGAAGAGTCAAAGACATTGAATGTCAACTGTGTTGACTATATGGGCCAAAATGCCTTGCAGCTTGCTGTGGGAAATGAACATTTGGAAGTGACAGAACTTCTGTTAAAGAAAGAGAATCTGGCACGGATTGGAGATGCCCTGCTGCTTGCAATCAGCAAAGGATACGTCCGTATAGTGGAAGCAATCTTGAATCACCCTGGCTTTGCAGCAAGCAAGCGACTAACACTAAGTCCCTGTGAGCAGGAACTCCAGGATGATGATTTCTATTCATATGATGAAGATGGGACCCGCTTTTCCCCAGACATCACTCCCATCATTTTAGCTGCTCATTGTCAGAAGTATGAAGTGGTACACATGTTGTTGATGAAAGGGGCAAGGATAGAGAGACCTCATGATTATTTTTGCAAATGCAGTGATTGCACTGAGAAACAAAAGGTTGATTCCTTTAGTCATTCCAGGTCAAGGATAAACGCATATAAGGGACTGGCAAGTCCTGCCTACCTGTCACTGTCTAGTGAAGATCCGGTTCTCACTGCTCTAGAACTTAGTAATGAGCTTGCCAAATTGGCTAATATTGAAAAAGAATTTAAGGTAAGATTTCTCTTTTCATACTTTCCCTGCCTGCTGCTTTGGTTTCTCTGGCTTCACATACTTCACAAAATTTCTATACACTTCATCTGTTCCTGTTGGTGTTGCCACTGTGATGCCTGCATCACTTAAAAGGGGAAAAAATCCCACACATTACTTTTGCTTTATATGAAAATATGTCAGCAGTTAATAAGTGCAGGGCATAATGAGAAAAATGCATTAGTTCCCTAGCAAAGATGAAAACAGGTTTGTTCACCCCTACAGAGTAATGGCTTTTAATGAAGCACACCCAATTGAAATGATGTCACCTAAGTTACCAGGAAAAAAACTTTCCATTTTTGAGCTCGTGGTCTTAAATGAATATGTTTGTTTCTTTGCACACCTTTTGAATGCTGTTGTTTGCAGGTTATGAAAGCTACACGCATTTGTCATTTCTGTAGCTGAAGAATACTGTGCTCATTCATCTTCCAGAAATGTACTAAGGTGCCAAAAGCCAGCTGTTAAAATCTGTATTAATGCTTCACCTTTCTTTCTCTTTTTTAAAATTATACTCATTACAGTGTTGCAGAATGGTTATTATTCTGTTTTCCCCATTTGTAATTAAGTAGGCTTTAACTAATTTCACTGTTGATGTTATTTATCATATATCAAAAAGTTACAAGGAACAGCCCTAGATTAAGGAAAATCTAAAAGAAACTGGGTCAAAGAATACAAACTGTAAACTAATTTGGTTATACAAATGGGATTTTTATCCAGATGTAGCAAAATTTTTAATAGTTCTCTTCTGGCAACTGCTGGATTCTGCATCTTTAATAATCATTATACACTGTCTAGTCAATTCTGACGCTTGTAAGGTTTTGCTAGGTATATAGTATTCAGAAGTGGTGTACCAGTTGTTTCTGATGGTGGCACCCTAGTACTGTGCAGCTTACCCAAGGCTACACAGGCTAGGTCTTTCTTGGGATGCAGAGTGGGGCATAAAATGCCTGAGTCCTAGTTCCATAGCCAGGTGCTCCAACTGACTGAGGTATTAAGACAGCATATGTAATTTTAATTTCCCGAAGCTATTGTGAGGAAACAGAAAGCATTCTTTGAAGCCTGTAAAGCCTGTTCCAAATGTAGAGATAAATGTGTATAATAGAAATGCAGTCGGTGGGAAGATAGTGTCTATGTATGAGAAGGAAGGGTAATATATGATCCTCCAGAAGTTGTTGGACTGTATTTTTCCACATTTGTCACTATTGACCTTTCTAACTAAAGCTGATGCAATCAACAATCTAATAACATCTGGGAGGCTACATATTTCTCTACATTGATATATACATACGTATAGTTTACTGCAGTACAAAGGCTTACAGTGGTTGTTGTTGTTTAGTTGTTAAGTCGTGTCTGACTCTTTGTGACCCCATGGACCAGAGCACTCCAGGCTGTCCTGTCTTCCACTGCCTTCCAGAGTTGGGTCAAATTCATGTTGGTAGCTTCAGTGACACTGTCCAACCATCTCATCCTCTGTCGTCCCCTTCTCCTTTTGCCCTCACACTTTCCTAACATCAGGGTCTTTTCCAAGGAGTCTTCTCTCCTCATGAGATGGCCAAAGTATTGGAGCCTCAGCTTCAGGAGCTGTCCTTCCAGTGAGCACTCAGAGTCTATTTCTTTCAAAATGGATAGGTTTGTTCTCTTTGCAGTCCAGGGGACTCTCAAGAGTCTCCTCCAGCACCACAATTCAAATGCATAGATTCTTCGGCGGTAAGCCTTCTTTATGGTCCAGCTCTAACTTCCATACATCACTACAGGAAAAACGATAGCTTTGACTAGGCGGACCTCTTTTGGCAAGGTGATGTCTCTGCTTTTTAAGATGTTGTCGAGGTTGTCATCGCTTTTCTCCCAAGAAGCAGGTGTCTTTTAATTTCATGGCTGCTGTCACCATCTGCAGTGATCATGGAGCCCAAGAAAGTAAAATTTGTCACTGCCTCCATATCTTCCCCTTCTATTTGCCTGGAGGTGATGGGACCAGTGGCCATGATCTCAGTTTCTTTTATGTCAAGCTTCAGACCATTTTTGCGCTCTCCTCTTTCACCCTCATTAAGAGGTTCTTTAATTCTTCCTCACTTTCTGCCATCAGACTGGTATCATCTGCATATCTGAGGTTGTTGATATTTCTTCCGGCAATCTTAATTCCAGTTTGGGATTCATCCAGTCCAGCCTTTTGCATGATATATTCTGCATATAAGTTAAATAAGCAGGGGGATAATATACAG